TTTTAATATGTTCTTAAGAAGATCTCTCGAAGACTAATTAATGCCAAATGAGCTCTATTTTATAGGTATTGAATCTTTGATGAGAAAAGTGAGTTRCGATACATCGAGAGACTATCAGGTTTTAGGGGGAGGGAGAAGGGAGGGACTATCTATATTTTTGTTACGCCTTTTYAGTAGTGACTTTGATAACTCTCAATTTCTTCTCAATGCTGAGGAAAAAATCTTGGTAATTGTGAGGATAGAACTCGTCAACGATTAAACATCAACACAAGACAATTTTATGACGCGGTAAACACGATAATTGTTGATAATAACAAAGAACGTCTTTCGTCTACTATCGTATTTTGAAGTATTATTTGTCATGTTAACAGAATATGATTTAGAAATACCAATGTAATGAATACTAGTGACTTCAATAACAAGGTTACGATCCAACCATGAATTAATAAAAGGAAGCGTATGGAGACATGACTTGTGGGAAGAAGATCGTGTACATTTGGCGCCAAAATGATTGCCTTAGGCGAGTATCTGCGATCAGTTTCTATTTATCGTGACTTTGTCGACACATCATTACGTCAATGAGATCGTTGCAATATTTTGTTGTTGATAAATCAATCAAGCTTCAAGTTTTATGTAAACAACATTGCCAACGATGAATTCTCGGCCATTTTGGTAAAACAGTGAAAAATCCGTTGTTTGACAGCTGATGAGGTTTTAACATGGATTAGTGAACTTAAAACCATTAGGATTAAAGATATTAGTCACATGTATAGCCACGTACAGCAACTTCACATTCCACTGTTTTAAAGAAAACCAAAACAAAACCCTTAGGATGATTCTGCAATATCAAACATAATGACGTATTAGGTCACGTGATATAGCAAATCAAAATCCAGTAAGTAAATAACAAAGTGTTATCGTTAAGCACGTGTCATGCATTTAAGACCGATTATCGGATGTGATCGGACAGGATTTTCATATATTTGATATTATAAGTCAATGTTTCAATACAAGACAACTTAGATCCTCTTTTGAATTCCAATCAGCGTTATTTGTTTTTGCGTCCATTTAGCGATAAAGTGTTCTGTCTTGTAAAGCGTTAAGCGATTAGGTCGACATCTTAAAACAGCTGCTTGCTGACATCAATCGCGAACAAACAACTATCAAAATATTTTTGTAGTATGCCATATGTGATGATCTCGAGCATGCGTACAAGATGTACTTCGAACATGCAGCTATGACTTCATCGACAAAAATATTTTGCAAACCTTGTGTGTTAATCGGAAGTGTGATATCGTCTCCTAGCGACAGGTTTGAATGTTGATTCCTTGATGACGTCATTAAACGTTTGAATGTAAGCACATAACACGTGGGTATTTACTTCGTATCTAGGAATGGATGAAAAACATAATATTGATTTCTACAAAAAATATTTATTAAACAAAACTTATAGTCAAAGAGACAAAAACAGCTATAAATATAGCCAACATATACACTATAGAAATAATATAACAATCGGATTCCCTTAAGGCCAAGCTCTTTTTGTAATTTCAATTTATGCTAATTTTTCTGTATCTAAACTTTAGCCCACAATTATTGTCCATTAAAAGTACTTGACAATGAGGACAGTATGACCTCGAAACGTCGTAAAAATCACTTGCTGTCTTGATCGTTTATTTTACTACTAATATTATAACAATCGTTTTTATTTTCCTTGATAGAATAACCGCATTAGTGTGAAATAAACGCCATGTTGACGCCAACAATTTTATTGACAGTTTTTCTCAAAGCGCATTGAAAAACGAAGGTAAATGTGAAGCAAACGAACAACACCCTCTACTAAACACCACACCTGTTTTCTTAAAAAAAGCCGAACCAGTAGATCGTGCGCAAACTTTTAATAGTGTGTTATTTCCACCATGTGATATTATAAATAGTTTGACCACCAATATTTTTAGAACTGGAGTTATTTGAGGTGATCTCCTCCTGGCTCTTCCTTGTTTACATTCCTTTACGTCAAAACGTTCGATCGTTCCCATGTCTCATTGTTAATCAACTAATTTATACTCTAGTCTACTTTAAGGAAAAGAAGTTTTGATCGAAATCAGTTCTTTGTCAACTGACCTTGGACTCGAAAGAACATTTAATCGTAATTAGTTCCTTGAAAGTGAGGGCGTTCCTTGAGGGATCATTACATCGTTGCGTCACGACGCCATTGCTTTCACTTCCTTGTTTACAAGTTGAGATGTTTTCCGGTATATCCATGTCTTATCCAAAGGAATTAGTAGGAGTGCTATCCGTATGATTCATAAGAGATTCATGTAATCTGGAGTCATGAAAGTTATTCGACTTCCGCGAGTATTTGAATACCTTCTTCGGAATAAAATTGAAAGAAGCGCAAAATGTCTGCTCACATATTTCAGACTGTGTGTTGCGACAAAGGTTGCTTCATTCGGTAGAAGGGGGGAGGGGGTAGGTTGCAGACTATTGTAGCACTATACAGCTCTTTCAAAAACTTTACTGATTACTGCACAGTGTATCACTGGACTCCGTCTAAGCGCTATTCCTAGATTACACTCCTAAACGATCCTAAAAAAAACCGTTTACTCTCCGTACAGAGCAAGCTTAGTCACTCTGAAACAGTGAAAACCCATTTTATCGGCGATATGACACAATAAGGGAATGCCCTGATACACTATATAATATCATGGAACAAATGAATACCTTATTGTGTGCACTATAAAATGTAGGTGCGCGTGTATTCATGTTATATTCAAAAGAATCATGAGCGGCATACAGGTTATAAATATCATGTAATAATATCATCTAATAATCTWATGATATTTCAGAATAATGAATATAGTTATATGAGATTATCAAGTAGTTTTCAAGTCAAGCGTTTGCTACCGCGCTAAGAATAGCCTACAGCTGATGTACATGTTTGAAGGAATATTTATAGTTGCTAAGTTACGCGGAGTCAACAAAGAACTTAACACAAGGCAAATCAATCATGAAGCGAAAGAAATAGGAGTGATGGTCTAGTGTCAAGTTCTAAGAAATTACAAAAACAACGATTAGGCAATAGAAATAAGAAGAAAATATAGCAACCCATTTTGTCACGAAACCGAGGCAAGTAGGTCACGCTAGCCTAAAACTAATAATTATTAATCTTCCATATGTGCAGTTCCCGACTGCCGCCATTGTTAGTTTATGATAGTTCACTGTTTTCAAAAGCTTAACGAGATCCAACTCCTCACCAGACATTGTGGGAAATCTTTACCCCGAGATGAACCAACACATACTACATGAATAATCCTCAGTATCAACAAAAAACACAAAAAGCATGTTTACCGTTTACCTCATGGGCGCCATTGAATTATTAAGGTTATCTTTATATAAAATAGTCGATAATTTTAATAGACTTGCCTAAGGATTTAATGTAGGATATTTATCAAAAACGTTTTTATTACTGGAAGTTCAATTAAAAAATATTTTTATTAGCCCAGTTGACGCCTTTACAGTGAGTGTGTCTATAACCTTAGGGTACGACATCTACAATTTTATGGCTTTTGGTTCATTATGCAAACCACTTTGAAAAATCTAGATAGAACGTGTTAAGACTCATAAGCAACCGCAAAAGCACCTTTTTGTTTCTTGCTATGTGACAAGGGTTATAAATCAGAAATCGATCGCTAACCTTGAACTATCTTGATCAGCTGATTGTGTATCGGATGTTATGACAAATATTTTTATACCCTTTACTTAAAGAAAGCTTTGTTTTGAAGGAAACGGTTCATTGTTGATGTGGAATAAAGCCCAATAAACGTTATGTTAGTCATCTATAGTGGTCTGTTTCCATGTATCAACTTTATCCATTTTTAACGGGATTTACATGTCCAAAAAACTGCATCCAGGAGTTTACTATGTGTTTAGCATCCTTGTTTTCGTCGTCTTCCCAGGAGCAATTTTTGATGGCTTGCTTTGCTAATCCAATTTCTTTTACTGGACTTGCACTTCGCCATGTTGCCTCAAAACTTAGTTTTGTTGCTGCGTCGTTTTTAGGGAAGAAGTCAGGGAACAATGATGCACCTTCATCGAGATCAAAGTTCCAACCGGAAGTGTCGTTGATGTTTCTCATTGAAAACCTCGAACTCGCTGAACGGAAAAAGTCATCACCGTCCATGTCCTTGTACTTAGCTTTAAAAAATGAACCACTGCTTAAACTATCGAAATTATTCTTGGACGATACCAGCTCAAGGCCTTTATCATCTGGTATCTTTTTGTCTGTGGAGTTTTTGTCAGTTTTAGAAATCACTGTCTTTGTTTGTTTCTTAGTGACTGTTTTCTTTGAAGTAAAAGTTCTTACTGTTTTACTACTTGCAGTAGTTGATGAATAACTCGACGAAGAAGTTTGTTGTACCTTATAGACTGAAGATCTTCCAATTTTTCCTCCATCAATACTTGAATTCCACGAATTACTTAATTCTTCTTTAACATCAGAGATACGATTAAATGATTCACGTCTTGTTACATTTCCTGCTTTAGAAATCACTGTAAACGCAGAACCGTCGGACGAGAACGCCATACTGTATGACTAACGTTGATTTATGAAAAACGTGAAGCAATCATTATATATATATATAACCTCGATCGCATGACATTGCATGGTTACTCAGCTCCTCACTACGAAAAAAGTGAGTAATGATGACATGATGATRAGAGTATCAAATATCATTACAACATTGAAATAGGAATACTAATAACACGTATGAACTTATTCATGTTATTTTAATAACTGATATTGGTATACTAGTCTGTTGACTGTTTTTCCTGTGTTTTCGTATATTCACTATGAATGTCTAAACACRCACTTGTGATAAGTACCTTTGTCGCTACGTAAGGTTGTAAATATGCCTATTAGAACTATACTTTATAATGACAGACTACAAGAGTGCTTGTATGCTAGCCCATGTTTCCATAGTATCTTACATGCTGTTTATGGTCGCTGTTCACGTGTTATTGCATAATGGTAATTGTTAGTGTATTACTCAGTATATAGACRTTACCCACATTATATACTGCGTTTTCTAAAGATTTTGAAAATTTCAATAAAATTTGTCATTATGGGCCGTGCTCACGATATATATATACGCCTAAGACCCGATACGGGTATAGTACRCAAAATATTAAAGAAGTAAATAATATATATAGTGTGTCGCTCTTTTGCGGCTCTCTTTGGAGCTCTATGCTCTTTCTTCTGTCTATATTGATCAACTCGCTTTTCRTTGAGTCTTTTGCAAGTGTTCTTAATGACGATCCTCCAGTGGGGTCTATCATGAACCATCTGTTGCCATTTGTCCAAGACTTGTCCTTCTTTCAACTGCTCACGAGAAAAGTAGCTAAAAAACCTCAGATACCAACGTTACATTATCAAAAAATAAGAAATTA